AGATCTTCCGCCAATCCTAACGTCGCACATTAATTGCACCAGGCAGGGTACTTTTGTGGTTCAAATTGCAAGAAGAAAATGAAACTTTTAATCCAGTGGGAAAACCAAAGGGCTCTGCTTATAAACACAAGGAAGTGTATATTACATTAAACATTTATAAGGTGTTTGTTAAACTCTAGTCTTCCTTATGTTTCATTTCTATTTCCTGGCCTTCTGGTGAATTGTGTTGCCAGCTTAAAGGCAGGGTGCTTGAATCTACCAGGTGCTCTGCAGGGAAAAGATGGGCAGTCACCTCTTGTGTGATTTACAGCCTCTAAAAACCCTCTAGAATGTCACCAGTGAGTCAATTCTGACTTGACAGCAGTGAGTTGAGTTGAGTCTTATGGTACATTAGGACCAATATATTCTGCTTGGGTGATGTCATTACAACACTCTTACCAGAGATCTTTTAATAAACCATCTCTTACACAATGAAAATCTTGTCATTTGCTCCATGTGAGGGATAAGTGGTTGAACTTTTTAAGAGCTGAGTTGTCTCTTAAAAGCAGTAAAAGCAGTAATTTTAGGCCAACTTGTAGTTGGATTTAAAATGGAGTTTCATTTAGATCTAAGGCAGCCATTTTAATAAGTTTTGAGATTTCACTTGTTAGAGCTATTGAGTTGATTCCATTCTCAGACCCATTGTTGCAGTCACTGTATCAGTCTGTCTCCTTGAGGATCTCCTTCTCACTGACTCTCTATTTTTACTAGCATGATGTTTTTCAAGGATTTTCTGACAACGTTCCCAAAGTATGTGAGATCAAATGTCACCATCCTTGCCTGTAAGGAGAACCCTGCTGGCACTTCCTTCAAGACAAATTGGTTTATTCTTTTGGAAATTCTTGGTATATTCAGTACGTTGCCAGCACCATAATGCAAAGACATTATTCCTTCTTCAGTCTTCCTTATTCATTGTCCAACTTCCACATGCAATTGAAAAGGCCTGTGGTAGACACTCCTTAGTCTTTAAACTGATATCCTTGCTCTTTAGCACTTTTAAGAGGTCCTCTGATAGTAAGTACATTGGTCCAGTAGAGCTGACTGTCCTTTGCTGCTGCTACCATGGGTGTTAATTGTCAATCCAAGTAAAATTAAACTCTTTTTTTTTTTTTTAAATTAAACTCTTGATGTTGATCTTTTCTCCATTTGTCATGATGTTGCTTGTTAGTCCAGTTATAAGGATTTCTGTTGTCTGGTGCTGAAGTGCAATCCATACTGATGAATGTAGTCTAATCTTTTTCAGTAAGTGCTTCACCTATAAGTAGTGGTAAATACTCAAAAAGTGATAATAGTATTAATTAGTGTTAGATTTTATTTATTTATTTTTTAGCCACACAACATTTTGTGGAAAGATTATATGTGCTTACTTGGAAATTACTGTTTAATTTTCCCAGATCTGTAAGTTTATTCTCGTTGAAACATTTAGCAAATGATCAGATTTTTAAAAATGCATTTTTAAATATTTTATTGTGAAGTCTGGTGTCTTTCATATTTCTCTAGAGAGCACTGGTTATATTTGTTTGTTACTGAAACTTTTTCTTGTGGTATTGGCGCAAGTAACTAGAGCAAATATGTTTTTTCGTTTAACCATTCCTTTCATTTGGTGACCTTAATTGTGATCCCTACAATGTAACAACACTCTTTCCACTTAGTTACATTTTTATCCATTTACATTTAGTGCTTTAAGGTGATATGCTAGGATTTATAGCTACTAACTTACCTTTTATTTCCATTTCTCCAAAGTATTTGACATTTTTTCTTGGTTCTTGTTCTATCTTTCTAGCATACTCTTTATTACCTTGCTAGTTGGACATTCTTTTAGTGCTAACCCTAGAAACTGTGACACACATCTTTAACTTTCAACATTCTAATAAAACTAATTACTTGGACCATTCCCCGCCCAGTAATATTCCACTAACTCACTCCCGTAGTTTTCATTTTGTAGTTAGATATAATTGTATATATCTTGCACACATTTTAAGGCATTGCTATTACTATTTTTGTTGGTACAGAAAGTATTATATACACATTCACATTGCCTATTGTTCTTAGTTTCTTTTGAATTTTTATTTTAAATAATCAGTTGTTTAAAAAAATAATGCAGGTTTTTAAACCTTAGCTTTTAAACTCTATAACTCTGCTCATATGTAACTGAAATGAAATATAAACCATTGCAATCTACACATTTTGCCCATAGATACAAGTTTGTTTATTCTGGTTCCCTAAAATTCTGGCATACTGGAGTTAACAAATTCTCTAAAGCCATTTTCCGTAGCACTTTAGTCATTGAACTGTGTCCCGTGAAAAAATTTGTCAGGGTGCTTGAACAGGTAGCAGTGGCATTTGTCTATGGATTATAAAGAATTATGGCTAACATTGAGAAGGATAGAAATCCCACAACACTTGAATAATGATCATGCAAAACCTGTGCTTAGACCCAGATGCAGTTGTCCAAACAGAATCAGGAAACACCGAATGGATTAAAATCAGAAAAGACGTGAATCAGAGTTACATCCTCTTTTCTTACATGTTCAATCTGTGTGCTGAGCAAATGATTTAAGAAATTGGAATCTGAGGGTGAATATGGCATTAGAATTGGAGGAAGACTTGGGAGCTTTGGTGGCCTAGTGGCAAGAAGCTGCATTGCAATCCCAGAGGTATGTGGTTCAAATCCACCAGATGCTCTGCTGGAGAAAGAGGGGCAATCACATCCTGTATCAGTCAGATCTTATTTGACGGTATACACACACACATGATGCTGCCAATTGGTCCAGTGGTGAGAATCTTTGTTTTCTTGATGTTGAGCTTCAATCCATATTGAAGGCTGCAGTCCTTGACCTTCTGCAGCAAGT